TTTCACCCGCACTGCCCTCTACGCGATTCAACGCATCCACGAGCTGCCGGCTGATTCGCTTCACGGATCTATCAGGAGCATATATTTACGGTAGCACCGTATTATTAAATCATACACTAATTAGACTTAATAGATTTATCTTATAAATTAGTCTTGATCTGTATAATTAATTTTGTAATTAGTTTATGTTTAATATTTCAAATTAGTGTCAAAACATATGATGTGACACGGATAAAAATTTAGGAGGTGAGAATCAAACGCCCCATTGGACATTCGGATATTAATTAGGAGGACTAAGTATGAACTAATTATAAAACTAATTACACAGACGGAGACGAATTTATTAAGCCTAATTAATCTATCATTAGCATATGTTTACTGTAGCATCATATTATCAAATTATGAATTAATTAGGCTTAATAGATTTATCTCGTAAATTAATTCTAGTATGTGAAATTGGTTTTGTAATTAGTCTTTCGTACTCTAAATTAGTATTAAACATTCTGATACGACACGAACCAGCCTGTTCGTTTCGGCTGAAACGATCGTAGATTATAAGCCAGAAATACTGCTGTCTGGTTTGGTGTGAGAGAAAAATACTGTTGTAGCTTATAATTCACGATCGTATAAATCGAAACAAACATGCTGCAAATTTTAGTCTGAGCAACATTAAAGATGGACACGGCGAGCCGACAGTGCCAACCGATGAATCGTGCTCGGGCATGCATGAGCGACGATGTATGCGCATATATATGGTACTGATGCCCTGGAAAGTTAATGGCTCTTGTCGTGGTTGGTTCAAAGCCACGGTATGCATACGGAATAAGTACTCTCTCTCTCTTCCAAAGAAGCAATTCCAGCTTTTTCAAGAGTCAAAGCATCTCAAAGTTAATTAAAATTATAAAAAAATATAAAAAGTTATGATATCAAATAGATATACTATAAAAAAAATTAATGAAGAATCTAATGATATTTATTTAGCATCGTAAAATAGTATTATTTTACGGTAGTGCTAGCGCCTGTGCGTCTGAACGGACGCTCACGTCTGCACTCCGTCTACCCCCGCACATCTGCATTCCACGCCCGTCTTCACGGGGCCCGTGCCACACGACTGCACGTGGGGAGTCCCCGCTTGCGCCCCCTCCGCTTCTCACGCGCATGCACGTGGTCAGTAGCTGCAGCAGGTGACTACAGCAGGTGGCTACGCCAGCATCTAGAAGAGGGGGAGAGGGTGGCGGATGCCTAGCCGGCGCCGGGAGGAGGAGGAGACACCGAGGCGAAGGTGAGGTAGCAAAAAAAGCGAAGACAGAGATGCAACACCTGATCTACTTTTGAAATATCCGGATACAACACTTGCAACATACGTCTAAAGGAAGATGAAACACATGAAACATGCATCTGAAACACTAGCTGCAACACCAGATCTACTTTTGAAACGTCCAGACGAAACACTTGCAACATACGTACGAAATAGCTGAAACACTCGAAACATGCGTATAAAACACTTGCAAACACACACCAGAAAACACTTCATATGTGTGAAAACATATGGAACATTCAGATGAAACACTTCCAAACATACGTCTGGAAAACGAGATTAAACATTTGGAACATACACTTGAAACATCCGTGTATAGCCACTGCAACATGTGCAACATTTCGATCTACTTTTGCAACATCAAGATGAAACACTTGCAACATCCAGATAAAACATCTGAAACACTTGAAACATACTCTTATAACATGGGGTTTGCTCGGACGAATGGAGGCACATCGGCGCGGAGATCAACGGCAGCCCATGGACCTCGCTGTGCGGTAGCGGCACAGGCAACTCACCGGCGGGCGTGGCGTCACACGAATCTCGTCCCTCTCGCATGCTTGCTGGAGCATCCGTCATGGAGGCTCGCCTGCTCGGTGGAGGCGGTCGCGATGAGCGGGCAGGCCGCAGTGAGGAGGCAGCGCGGTGGAGGCGACAAGGCAGACTGGGCCCGGTGGTAAATATGGTGCAGAGGAGGCAGCGCGGAGGAGGACGCAGGGGGATGGTGCGTGGCGCTACGGGGGACCGGCGATAGCAAGACGGAGTGGGGTGGGCAGATGGGCACGGCGACACAGGGTCGCTGAGCGAGCGGTGCGTGCAGGAGTGAGCGGAGGGAGGCGTCCGTCAGTCCGGACATCTTAATTGTATCATTATCGATTATTTTATTATATAAGTTTGGTTAAACTTATGATGGTTTGACTATCAAAAAAAGTTAGAATGACTTATCGCCCTGTTTGTTTGAACTTATTAGCCTAGCTTATCAACTATAATACAACGTTTTTCTCTCACAATAACACAGCATCAGGATATGACATCATTGATCGAGGAGGCTTTTGAAGCTTCGCCATTTAAGAATATGCTTGATAGTAAGCGGGACGGGACGAAATTTTGATGACTGTTTGGCCCCTTTAATTGTTATTTAGTAGTAGATAGGTTTGTTGAGGACATAATCTCCCGGCAAGCTGCAGAAGTGAGATCACGTTGGTGGGTCCGTATGTAGGTTATTTTTATCATTTGATATAAAGAGATTCTAAAACATAGCTTGGCTGTTTCTGTCCTGGCTTATCAGCTGTAAAAAAATATCAGCCGAATTTGGAACGGAGGGAGAACGGCTGTTCTCTACGCCCTTCGAGACCGGACCTCACCTATCAGATTCTCAGATGTGACCAGGAGAACGGCCCGGCAGGTGCCGACATTTCTAATTTGCAGCTGCCAGCCTTGCTGGCCGAGTGATATTTATGTACATATATTATCGACACGAGTTGGTCGGATGTTATGACGTAGACTAATCGATGTGTTGTAAAGCAATATTTCTTCTTCAGGAATTCCCAAAAAATGTTTCTTCTCCAAGACATATACATACACGATGCTTTCTAGTTTCTTCTATACCATATAAATACCGTACCTACCCATGGTACACTTTTGACTTTGTGCACGGGCACGGCGCGTCCCCGTCCACTTAACCCGTTGTTGCTCAGTATATCCAGCAGTCTCTCTCGAGCTTGAACGAATGAACGGGTTTGGTTGTTCGCGGTTCGCCATCTGCGCGTGCTGTGTCTGTGTGGTCCATGTGGATCATCACTCACATACGCATCACGAAAAGCGGGGAACCTTTTCCAGCCCGAAGCTTTCTAATCCATGCCAATGGCCAACAATCACGTGCTGATAGCATCTCATCCACCGCGCGCAACGGCTTTCGGAGTCTCTGTGTTTGCTTGCTTGAACATGGTTTCATAGAGCTAGAGCCACGTCGTATATGTTGGATAAGGAAAAGGTGGAACAAAATTGAGTGGATGGAGTGATCCTACAAGGAAGAGTGATTATTAGTTGCTTGCGGTACATGAGCAGATTCAGTGGCCCTACACTCAATGCCCGTATGAAAATGATGTGCATACATGAGCATGTACATTGATCTTTCCCCTGAGCCCAGGCCTAGCAGTGTTTTGCTTGGGAAGCAGTGCATCCAACCAGTGAAATTGAAGCTCATTCTGGGTCTGGGTCTGGGTCTGGGCACATCCAACAGGGCAACAGGCCAGGATAATAGTCTCTTTACACTCAAATAGGCCATACATACATACAGGCGTCGGTGGATACATGCAACCAAACAGCCAGGATAGGGGAGATACGGGAAACCAATCACGGCCTTAGCCAGCCAAATTTCCCCTGGTCCTGCTTAGATGCTTGTTTTGCTATAATCTCTGCTATCTAATTAGGCACGTATAAAATCAGCAGCTGTACCTAACAACTTCAAACCACACATGTAGAGAAATACAGTGAATGTAGTGATCCTAGAAGGAAGAATGATTAGTTGGGTGCAGTACATGAGCAGATTCAGTGGCCCTACACTCGATGCCCGTGTGAAAATGATGTGAATAAATGAGCCTGTACATTGACCCTTCCCCTGAGCCCAGGCGTAGCAGTGTTTTGCTTGGGACGCAGTGCATCCAACCCGTGACAGTGAAGCTCATTCTGGGTCTGGGCACATCTAACAGGCCAGGATAATGCTTTACACCCAATAGGCCATACATTAGCCTGTTTGGTTGACTAGTTCGTATTGTTGCTGGTTTATTTATGTGAGAGAGAAATACTACTGGCTGGTTCATGTGAACAGTATTCATGTGAGAGGACTGGCCAGCCCAGCCAGCCAGCCGCCCCCAGCCGAACGGGCAGGCGTCGCTGGATCACATACAATACAACCAAACAGCCAGGGCGATAGGGGAGATACGGGGAACCAATCACAGCCTTAGCCAGCCAAAATCTCCTTGGTCACGTATAAAATCAGCAACAGCAACTGTGCCTAACAACTTCAAACCACACATGTAGACAATACAGAAGACTATGGCAAACAGCATAATGCTGAATGGACATGAACACATTATGACTTTATTATTCCTATATTTCCAGTGTACACATTTTGCAAATTTGCCTACATGATAAAACCACAACCTCAGCAGTTCCAGCACTGTTCCGGTGAAAAAAATCAGCCAACTTGCCGAGCCAAAAGAGAAAGAATGGACCCCCAAAATTCTTTTCACAACTTCAAGTGCCGCGTATCCAGAACATCTGAGTCCCCCCAAAAAGTGAGGCTAGTATCAGCGGTGAGTTGCACTTGCTGTGTCCTATGTACCAAGTCAAATTGCAAGCAGGAAACACACTGAAACCAAACTTGATTTCCTTAACCACTCATTCAACCTGTGGGCAGCCGATATAGAATAAATCTCATCTTTTCCATCATAATTTCCTGAGCTTCTCCACGACGCTGTCTAGTCACAATAAGATTGCGAAGAGGCATGGCAGGATATGCCAAGCAACACTGGACCAGCAATGTGGCATCATTCTGTAAGCAACAGATTTCCAAAGGCATATTACACCTGCCAACAGTTCTCTTGTTCTCTTGATGACACATGTGGGTTTCCATATGGCGTGTAGTAAGGGGTAAAGATCAAGGGTCATGGTGCCATTACTATGAATCATATCGAGCTCCAGATGTGAAAGAAGAGAAAAACCCAGCTGCTGGTCCAGGAAGGATGTCACTTAGCTTACCAACCTGCCCGTCAGAGAGCATAGACCCCCATCTTGATGTGTTCTCCCCAAATTTGCTCCCCACCTGACAAATGACATGAAGATATTTTGCTGAATATTTAAAAGATACAACAATTATAGGCTGTATCAATAAGTTTTGTAAAAGGGAATAGACAAAAGAACATGTGAAAAGATAAACCTCTTCATTTGTCTTTCATACAAAGAAAAATGTCTTCTAATTTCCACAGATCTAGGGACTAAATGAAAAATTAGAAGTAGAAAACAAGATATTGTTGGCTCAAAAATGAAAATAAATGTGCTAGCAACAGTCACAAGACATGAATCAGTCAGTGCTCATAAATTTTCACTGTTTCCAAGGCTAATTCTGCAAGTATTTCATATCACGCTAATGGAAAATTTTCTCAACCAAGCAGAATGAATTTCGATGGATAGATTAATAAGTTATACAGAACGCAAGGATCTTTTTTTACTTGTTTAGGCTAGAATTGAAGTTAACAATCAATAAACTTGTAGTCAGTTACTCACCTGGGTAACAAATGACTTAAGCAATGGAGCAGCACCGACAAGACTTGCATTATCATCAAACTCTGGTGTAGATCTATCTCCATTTGAATAGGATTTCCAAGGATTTTTAGATGTGGAGTCGCTAGATGGCGACTGTAGTGACGATTTGTGTGATCTTGATGATATAGCTGGGGCACTGTAGGCAAGAAGACAAAAAAAAAAGGAACAGATCAGAATCTTAAAAAAATAAGAGTATATATTCTCCACAAGCCACTTAAAAATCCCCAAAAAGAAAATCAGAACACCAACGTAGGTTGCTAAATGGAACAAAAAAGCAAAACAAACATAGGAATGATCTTACACAGGTCTCCTAAATGTAGAACGAGCACACTAAAAAAAATACATTTTCTTTATTGTCCATTAACTGTTCATTTTGTCATTTACTACTACTTAGTCATCCATACAGTACACCAGAATAGAGTATAAAGTCTTATCCAAAGTTACAAGTCGTAATATCACTTGTAAGGATTGAACACTGAAGCTGTAATATTAACTCACTAATGTAAGCTCCTGACATTTAGCAGATGACCTTTTTGCAGAATGCTATGAAGTTGCCCATTATATGTTCCAGAATTATGGCATAGAAATACATCAGGTTTTACAAGCATCCATGGATATCTTGTCAACAAATGTTGTCAAGCACAAAATTTCCATATCATAACTATATCTGCTGATTGCAATGGTAGGCACGCTGCTGACAGGTTGGTCTGAGCACAAAACTAAGTCTAAAACACCTTTCAAAATCACTTAATGGAACATGCACTTGGCAATATATAAATCCATAGTTAGTTATTTACACATGACACAGATCATTTACCTGATTGGTAGGTACTTGAACCTTGGAACCTGAGAGCACCTCATGATATTTGAATTTGTATTTGATTTCGTTGGTAATTTTTGTACAGTACCAGTGTACATGTGATTCAGTTGGACCAAAAAACCAAAAAGAACAACATAACGCTTGTAAGATTGCTTCTCATTCTCCCACAGGTAAGGTTCATACCTATTTAAAGACACAGCTTTCAGTTGGGAGGAATGAAAAGCAGAGTCTGTAGTTAATTTGTTACATATTTTAATAACATGACAGGTAACAATTTAAATTGGAAAAAAAAATCTTACGTGGCCCAGTCTATAGGATCCAATCTCTGTGAGAGCCTGTTGACTAACTTGTTTATAGGCTCTATGACAGCTGAGTCTGCCTGTAATTGTGACTGTTTTCTCCTGAAGGAAGTCTTGGTGACGGTGCTTGGCAAAGAATTTGTCTGCATTTCAGTAGTGTTGGTGGAAGAACTTTTACCTCCTGATAGGACATCACCAATGAAACGCAAGTCTAGCAGTATTTGCAGAATTCCTTTCTCTGAAACCAGAGAATTCCCAGATTCAACAGATGAAAGAAAATTTTCATAAATATTGATGACCTGCATATATTTAAGTAAAAGTTGGATCAATGGATCACATTTCTTGAAAGACATACTGACAGGCTCGTATGGAATCATCATCAGTACAGGTTTGAGACAACTTTGATGAAACAGGCAGCAACTAGGTCATGTAAAAAACAATGTCAACTGGAATATTCATGGAGCTGAAGCACCCAAGCATGAAGCATTAGTCCATATTGTCTAGATGAAGCACTAGTTCCAGTCTGAAGACACCTAAATCGAAGACTGGTTACTATTTTTAGAAACAAATAAATCTTTCTTAAGTTGCAATAGTTTGACTGAGAATCTATTCGCATGCTGGAGAAATATGAATTAGACTTTCCCAGCACTCAACAGGACAGGCAAAAAAAAAATCCATCTGATGTGTCAGTGTTATTATCATTATGATGTTAAATATCTCTAAGTAAAATCCAACATTCTCCGTGCTGAGTCCATGGATAAAGAAACCACAAAGAAGCTATTTGTGGTTTGTGCAGATCCAAGAAACAGCTTAAAAAAAATCAACTCTTGGATTCTTGGCTCTGGTTTATATAAAATAAACTACTTCGATTTTGAGTCCAATGCATCATGACTGTGAACTCGTAACAGGGACATACCTTCTGCAGTAGCTCCCATGCAAAATTCTGCAAAATAATCCTGTCCAGGATGTGCCCTCCAACCTTATGAATCTCCAGGCATGCTTGATAAAGAAAGGATATGATGTACAATGAAGGCATCGATGGAAGAGCTATTTGCATCTCCAAGGGACCCTCAGTTGTTTCCTCTTGTTTAATTACTGTGACTTCCCAGCCCTAACAATGCAACCAAACCACACAACTAAAGCAATTAGAATTCTGTATCGACAAGAAAAATGAAATAATATTTGTTTGGTACACTAATAGCTTGAAAGATCTGGGTAAAATAGCAAAATTTAGTGCCTGGATTAGGCCAGTTTATATCTGTGATGCTAAGTGTCTGATTACTGATAAGCAGGCACCTAGGCAGGGTAGGCGACAATTGCACTATGCGCGAGGGTGAAACCAAGCACCTAGTCCCTGCCTCCTTTTAAATATTTTTTTCTAGCTCCAATCAATTCAGGTGTACCTTTAAATTCACTCTCGAAAATCTTATCAGGCATTATGTCCAAAGTTAGTGTTCTTCATCAGGCCTCAAGAAGTACAATGTACACCTACCCACGGTTTTCCTTAATTCACCTAATCTCTCTAGATAAGGTACAAACACATATTGCCCTCAATCTGTTCAGAGATGATCCCATATGCTATATTATTATACATGTGAATCTACTTAAGTTTTCCAAACCAAATAAAATGCAGTCATGTAATTCAAAAACTACACCGTATTATACACTAAAAGATATCGGAGCTGCAAGTGGGTTCAAAGGCATACCCTCAAAGGAGTTGAAGAGGATAGTGAATCATCTTTGTTGAGATCATATGAAAGAATGTGACATAATTCAGTGGACACCCATGCTATCCATACATTATGAGCCATGATGCAAAGTGACTGCAGGGTCTTATTGAGTTCATCAAGTCTAGGATTGGATCTATCATCAGCGCCAAACAAAGATACTGCAGCAGCAATAGTTTGTCTTCTGGGGCTATCCGATAATTGCCTTCCAGGACTCCTGGGACTGTCAAATGTGCGCCTTCTGGGTGTAAAAGAAACCAAAGAATCAAAAGATGCTCTTGAATGTCTTGGTGTAGGTGATGATAACTTGGCAAATGCTGCACCACCCGCCTCCTTTACCCACTCCCTTGGAGAACCTAGTATCAGGGGTACATGACTTGAATGGTATCTCAGCGCAAAAAAGAGACGACCAATGAAGAGAGACCTCTCCGCTATAATAGAAGCTGCAGGTATGTCGTTACCCTCCTTTTTGGTTCCCAACAAAGCAGAGAGCTTTCTGAGCTCAGCTTCTAATTCTTTCAGTACTCCCGAGATGGTCCTGTAGCATTTCTCCTGGAGGTATGGCACCAATTCCTTCAGCCTTGGGGCTGAATTATGTGACTCCACAAAGCTTAACAGATCGTCCAGGATATTTTTGCATTTACTGTCAACTGCACTCCTGATCCGACTAACTTCTGGCCCAAAATACGATGTTAGGCAGCTATGGAAATCATTTTCATCAGCAATTGGTTTCAAGTGTGCCAAAACTCCGCCTTTCTTGATCTTAGACTCTGAGAACCAGAAACCACCGCCCTTTGAAGATTTCCGCAGGTATGCAAGGAAATCTCCAGCATCCTTTGGATCAGCATTGGCACCAATAGCGTAAACTGATTCCTTCATGTTAACACTAGCACCCAATCTATCAAGCTCTGAATGCACAATGTCCTTCATCCGCCGCACAAATGCTTCCTCCATCCAATCCTCAAAATATCCTTGCCGTCCTTCAAGATCAACCCACAGATCTGATCCCATGGCGACTCAATATCTGACCCAAAGACACTCTTCAGCCACTGCTCCAAACTTCCCTCCAACCCGTCCCTCCCATCTAGTGCATCACGTACAAGCCTTTGCACTGATCCAAGCAGCTCCCCGCTCCCAATGGCATCAACCAACTTTTGCTCACCAGCAATCACACCAAAAATTTCAGTGCAACATTCCTTGAGCCAATCCGTACAGGCCCCTGCAATGGCATCTGGCTCAAGCAGCACCATTGTAGCCTCAAGCTGGTTCATGTGCTCCTTCCACAACCGTGCTTCATCATCAGGGTCCGGAATGCCACCGAACAACTGCTCAGGCGGCATCTTCTCAAGCACCGTCTTGAAGAACAAAGGCATATCACTGAGTGCAGGCACAAACAACTGTCCAACGTGGCCAAGCGTGATCCGCACGATCCTCGCGATATCGCACAGCACAGAGGTGTAGGATGACAGATCCGAGGCGAGCCCAACTAGGGCTTGGGAGATCCAAACGCGGCGCGAGGTGAGGAAGAGGAGGAGCGCCTGTGCCGGGGCAAGCGACGGGGCGTCGATGGCGGCCACGGCCGCAAGCGCGTCAGCGTGAGCCGCTACAGGGAGGCGGCGGTCGGCGAGGCGCTCGCGCGCGCGCTGGGCGATCTGCGGCCGGAACGCCTCCACGAGCTGCGCCTGGTGCGCGAGGAGTGGGAACCGCGCGGCGGCCGCTGCGTCGCGGGAGAGCCGCCCGTGCACGACCTGAGCCCGCAGGTACCGACCCGCCGCCTCCAGGAGCAGGCCCTCGTCGAGCCGGCCCCAGATGTGCTCCGGAGTGTCAACCAGGTACTTGGCGCTCGCGGACAGCGCGTACAGCCTCGCACGCCCTCTAGCTGATGGGGACGGCGAGGTGGCGCTTACGGTGGGAGAGGGTTCAGGGGGCGGCGAGAGCGACGACAAGGAGCCGGAGATGCGGGCGAGGTTGTCGGATATGGCATCGGAGGACTGCTTGATGAGGAGGATGGAGTCCGCGGAGTCGAGCAGGTCGCGGTAGCTGCGCCCGACGAGCTGCCGGAGCTCCTCCTCCTTGGCGGAGATCTCGCGTCGGGTGGCGCCCTCAGCCGCGCGAATCTCTGGGATGCGCTTGGTGCGGAACAGCTCCTCGGCGTCGGCGGCGCCGCCGCCTCCGGGAACGGCCGCCGCAGGCATCGCGGCCCCGCTTGCCTTCGAGCGCGCGGCGAGATCCAAGAGGGGATGGGGAGGGATGAGTGGGGGAGAGACTAATAACTAGTGAAGAGGCACGTTCGTTTGAGTTCGCAGGACGAGGCGGAAGGAGGGTATTTGGTGGGCCCGATAGTTTAGTCAATGGTGGGCCCGATAAGTCAGAGAATGAGGGCTTGGTGAACCGGGAGCTCGGAACCTCGTGGATCTGTGTATGTAGGGCACTAGCGGTGGGACGGTTTGTCAGTGATTGAGAAAGTGGCCGATTTGGTGGGCCGTTAGTTTCAGGATTTTTGAGTTGAAATGCTATACCACAGTAAAGGACTCTTTGGAACTAAGGATTTTTTTCTTGTTTTTAATGTTTTTATTATAAAGATACAAATTCAAATTTTAATAAAATTCTATATGATTTTTATAAATTTTCTCTGTTTCAAAAGAATTTAAAAAAAATGCTGCAAAACTAGAAGTGATTCGGTGTTAGTACAACAAGGGGTCCAAAGTTCAATCTCCCATTTGTTGGTCATAGTCATTGGAGGCGCAATCTACTCCAACATTTCAATCGTTTGTGCAAGTGCATCTAAATCAATGATAAATTTTGCACACTGAACGGCATGTGGACCTGCGTGGTATGTGCAGTCTTTAGTAGAGCGTGAGTTTCTTTATAAAAAAAAACAGAGCACGAAGCGTGTAATAAGCGTATATGCTATCAAAACAATGTTGAGATGCTGAATATGTAGTGCTTGGTGACTGGTGAGACGGAAGGAGTCGTACTCAAGTTAATGCTCTACACTCCATGCTTGTATATAGCATCATGTGAGGCAACTCCATAAGTCCAAAACTCCAAATCCACGTCCCTAGGAAAGATTTAGCCTGTTTATTTGACTGTGGCTTTCGTAAACGATCGTAAATTTTCAGCTGGAACAGTATTTTTCTTTCACACAAACCAGCCAGCAGTACTTCTTCACGAACCAGCAACGAAACGAACCAGCCAACCGAACAGCCTGATTGACTTGTATGTACGAGTTGCTTCAACGGTAAGGATCGTGAGCATCAGACTTTGTGAAAGTCCTTGGTGGCTTTTAGCATATTAATTTTGTTTCTGAATTTTTATTCATATACAAGTAGTATAATTCTCTCTTTCAGACAATGATATTGTGTATATCAATTATGACTTTATAAAACTTATTAATTGCTTATAAATTTGTTAAATACGTTTTGGTTTTTTAATCAGTCGTTGATAATTCACCAAAACCTACCTAGGAGGGACAAGATGTATTTTTAGCTCATGTCCCTTACAAAAAAATTGGACCTGTGTACATGACTAAATGTCAGTTTGGTGATTTATATCTGCATGTAGGCAAATCACACGGACTATTCAATCTCTGCACGCAAACTACCAATGTATTATCCCCACTAAGCACCATATCCTCACACGTTACCAGAATTCTTAAATTTGCCGAGTGTTTTTTTTTATTTGCCGAGTATATTTCTTCGGACACTCGACGAACATGTTCTTTGTCGAGTGTAAAAAAAACACTCGGCAAAAAAAAAACACTCGGCAAAGATGGGGTTTGCCGAGTGTCAAAAGAAAAACACTCGGCAACGATAAAGTTTGTCGAGTGTAAAAAAAAACATTCGGCAAAGAAATAAAATATTTTTTCTAGAAAAGAAGGAGAAGAAAAAAATAAAAATAAAAACTCTGTCGAGTGCTCAGATCTGAAACACTAGGCAAAGAAATAAAAAAAATTCTGGAAAAAAGAATGAGAAAAAAAATGAAAAAAAAACTTTGCCGAGTGTCCAGATCTAGGACACTCCGCAAACAAAAAAAAATCTTCTTTTAACCCACCCAGCGTAGGAATCGAATCCACACTGCCCATCCCGCCTCGCTCTCTACGCCGCCGTTGCATGTTGGATCAGCCCCCGGATCACTGACGTGGACCTCTTGGACGGCGGGATCGAAGGCCACATGGAGTGATTTCCACCGCCAATTTCATTTGTGTTCCTCTACTGAGAATGTCGTGTGGGCCCAACATGATGTCATCTCCAGCAGAATGGAGAAATATCTCCCTCCGTCTTCCTCAACGCATCTATCTCGTCTCCCTCTCTCGCATCTCTCGTCTCCCTCTCAATCCAATCATGGAGGCCGCCGCAGTGCTCGACGCCTTCTCCGCCGCGCCGCGCCACCAGCTGTGCCCGACAGCCTGGTGGAGATCCACGCGCCTCGCGTCCCAGGCGTGCCGCGCCGACTGGCAGACCGCCTACGCCATCCTCGCCAGCAACAGCACGGGCGGCGGCGGCGGCGGTGGCGGTGGCCAGGACGTCAGCAGCAGAGCAGCAGCAACAACAACAGGCAGCCAGCGCCGCGGGTGAACGGCCAGAAGCCCCTGCCGGCGCCCGCGCCAGTGCTGGAGGTGACGCCGACGCCGACGCCCGTCGAGCTGGATCTGGTGCTCGTGTCCAACCTCCCCCGCCCGCTCAGCATCAGCGACCTGTCCCCCGCGTGAAGCTGGGCCGCGGCGCAGGGGAAGGGCGCCGCCGAGGAGACCGGCCGGTGGTGGTTTTTTTTATTTTTTTTGGCCAGTGGTGGCTTTTTTTTATTATTCGGAAAAAAGTTTGTCAAGTGTCAAATTTGACACTCGGCAAATAGCTGTTTGTCGACACATAGATGCCGTATGTTGTATGCTAAGTATTACACTCGGCAAAGCATTTACCGAGTATTTTTGGGACTTTACCGAGTGCCCCTGGCACTCGGCAAAACTACTGCATCCCGTAGTGACACTGACACACCATCTTACACTAAATATCATTACTATTTTGAATCTATCGACATACAACGCATATCGATGTCATACACCATTTATCACATTCTCGTATAATTTAATCTAATGTTATATTATTTTTTATTAGATTCTTTCATTAGCTCATCTAAGCTTTGACAACCTATCTCATTACATGCAATGACGTGACAACTTTGTCTGTAAGAAAGTCTCACCGCAACATGTGGGTTATTCTTCTAATTTAGGTAACAATCCAATTTTTTTAGGGGAGGTAACAATCCAATTAGTAGGACAAACACATGTGCTAAGTTGTGTTATGGGTTCTACTAGGCCTTATTCAAGCCTTTGTGGGCTTGTCACTTGTGGAGGAGACATTTTCTCGTCGCACAGGGCATCTTTCAAGCAGCCAGCATACCAAGAACAGCATGGTGTCTAAGTCTAACTACCCTGCAAGCACATATTGCGTGATTGATGTGTCACTGCATCCATCATGACAATATTTCATGAGTATCATCCCTCGTTCAGTCGTTGCAATCTACCACGTGAATTGTGTATCACTATAAACAGCCTCTTCATTCTCTAAAAGCACTGACTTAACACTAAGAGGTATGTCCTCCGATCCTTATAGCATTATATAAACGTGTCAAAGTTATGACAACAAGTGGTAAGAACAATGACAATAAGGTTGTGTTTGGTGGGGCTCCGAGAGACTCCGGCTGCAACTGTAGCATACTGTAGCGGTGAAAGCCTCTGCACAGCAGCTCCTCTAGCCCCTCTCCTCTCTTGGTTCTGCCGGAGCCGGAGCCCTTTCTTCAACCGGCACAGTGATCTACAGTGCATACTGTGCAGCAGGGTGTGGGGAGCCGGAGCCGGAGCCCGAGCTTGCAGGAGCTACACCAAACGGTGCCTAAGAAGACTAAGGCCGTATTTGGCACGGCTTCACGTGGGTGGGCTCCTCCACCGAGTCAGAACCAGATACTGGAGCTGCAAATTGTGGCTCTACCTCCCCTATGCGAAAAGAGCTTGAACTCCTCCAAACGTGCGGAAACGCTCCTTGCATCCCGTTTGATGTGTCTCTCGGCAGTGACGGAGTTGGATCGATGGAGCGCCACCAAACAAGTTCTAAAGATGTCATCCCAAGAAACGGGTTCGAAAACTATCTAGGCTCTCCTGGGTGCATCTATAGTCGAATCCGATAAACTTTTGAGTGCCCTCCAACCTGCTAGGTGAGGCATGTATAGGATCAAAAAAAGACATACGAAATCCAGAAAAAAAATACACAGACAGACATGCCCTGTTCATTTCGTTGAAAAGCCAGGCTGAAAAGTACTGTTCGCTGATTTGTTGTGAGAGAAAAAACAAAAACACTGTACCCAAGCCAGCCTGATAAGTTCAGTTGAACGGGGCCCATGACGTAGCACGCACAATCGGGACACTATTATACATAAAGAAAAAGTTAACTAACCCAACCATCTGAGCATGCATGAGATCAAAAACAGAGAAGCGCGAGCAGAGCGATGGCGGCCTCAAGGGCTGCCCATCCAGCATAGCTCTGCACCACACTAGCATCGGCTCGAAGGAGTAGGTGGTAAACTTGTCCATGGTCACCTGCACTGACAGCGGCACCCTCTCCCGCCGCTGGCGCTGGCCCTCCATGAGCCTGTGCAGCCTAGCGGGCATGCCTCGCATCCCCTCGCCCGTGGCCTGTCGCCGCCGCCTTGCTCATCTCCGGAGCTGTCGCCGGTGGTCATCGATGCGCCAATAATTATCCGATGATTATTATTGCTTCGCCTAAGGATGGAGCCTGATCTCGTTTGTTGATATATAGCAGGAAGAGACTCGTGCTCTGCAAGAACTCCGATCCGGGCCGAACTCTTCTCTCTCTCTCTTCATGAAAACGGACACGAATAGGTCGATCACGCACGCAGGCAGAGTTAATTTATCTCAAGGGGAAAGTTAAATCTAGCATGCACCTGGCCGGGCGCGACGACGAGACTAGATTACATGGGCGAGCGCGTCGGCAACAAACACGCCGTCGCGGTGCAAGTCGATCCGCATGACGGCGGAGAAGCGTCCAGTCGAAGTCGCCACGGCCGCCGCGCACCGCCGGCTAGCTGGCCCTACACTTTCACCGCCTTCTGGCTCGCGTTCATCGTATGCGGCACGATCTGCCTCGTCGTCCTGAAGTACATGGCGTACCTCAGCTTCCCGTTTTATTCCATCCATCTCACCGGCTATGACGGCATCGGGCCGGGCCCGGTCGCCGCGGTGCTCTCGCCGGAGTTCAACCTCACCGTCCATCTTCGCAACACGTGCGTCGACCGCGCGGACTTGACCATCCTGTACTCGGGCGTCGTGCTCGGCTGGGCGTGAAGGAACATAGTACCTCTGTAACGTACATCAGGGGATAAATATCTTACTTAGACGGAGAAACTGATTCCTCTACTTTGCTCTGGCGCAGTTGCGCCGTAGCCGCGTGGACGTCGGTGTCGTGGGAGCTCGGTGCGGTGGAGTCCAGCGTAGTGATGGCGATGTAGAGGTGACGGTGACGCGAGGTGCTGCGGTTCGGTGGTGATGGCAAACTCAGTGGGTCTTCCCGTCGCTGGTAGCACCCTCTTTAGACCGGGTTAGGTTTTTATATGTTGGTGGGTCACGGCGGCTTAGGTCAACCTCGTAGTTAGAGCTCTGGTCCCCACCTCTCTTTATAGTGCTGTGCGACGGGGCCTCACCAACCATGGAGTGGTTGGACGCCCCCGATCAGGACGTTGATCCAAGGGGAGATCAAACTAACATTCTCCCTCTTGATCTCACCATCTTTCAATTTCATATCAATTACTTTTGTTCATTCCATTACAGATTAGCGCATAGAACATGTTTCATGGTCATGGTCAATTGCCGATAGATTTAACAGCTACAACACACCACTCTGTTCTGAAATAGATACTTAACTTTGCACCTTCTTTTGTCCAGGAATTATAGACTTTCACTTAAACCCATGCCGGCTATATGTTCTCTGAACACGTTGGGTGGTAAGCCTTTTGTAAGCGGATCTGCGAGCATCTTTTCGGTACTTATATGCTCAATACTTATGACATGATCCCAGACTTTATCTTTCACAACATAATACTTTATGTCAATGTGTTTGGCAGCACCACTTGACTTATTGTTGTGAGCATACTATACTGTCGGATTATTATCGTGGTATAACTTAAGTGATCTATAGATGTCGTCAACCACCTTCAAACCGGGTACGAACTTCTTTAGCCAGTTCACCTGTCCCGTTGCCTCATAACACGCTACAAACTCGGCATACATTGTGGACGATGTAGTGACGGTTTGCTTTGAGCTTTTTCATGAAATAGCTCCCCCTGCGAGAGTGAATACATATCCAGACGTGGATTTTCTATCATCTTCCACATAATCAGAATCTGAATATCGCACTATATGGAGTGAATATGATCTTCTATACGTCATCATGAGGCTTTTCGTTCCTTGCAAATAACGCAAGACTTTCTTTACTAATTTTTAGTATTCTATTTCAGAATTGCTCTGGAATCTGCCAAGTAATCCGGTAACAAATGTCAAGTCAGGGCGCGTACATACTTGAGCATATTGCAAGCTTCCAATAGCTGAAGCATATGGAACCATTTTTATTGGATCGATCTCATACTGATTCCTGAGGCATTGAAAATCTCCTTATCTGTCGCCTTTGACTATAGGAGCAGGTGAGGAACTACATTTGTGCATATTGAATTTCTTTAAGATCTTTTTTATGTATGCCTTTTATGACAGTTCTAATACCCTTTTACTTCTATCTCGGTGAATCTCGATCCCTAGAACGAACGAAACTTCACCAAGATCTTTCATATCAAATTTTGAGGACAAAAATTTCTTTGTCTCCAGTAGTAGACTGACATCACTACTAGCAAGTAAGATATCATCCACATACAGAACAAGAAAGATAAACTTTCCATTCTTAAACTTTGCATAGACACAATTATCCTCTATATTCTCTTTAAACCTAAAATTCTTTATTGTCTTATCAAACTTCAAGTACCACTGTCTTGAAGCTTGTTTTAATCCATAAATAGATTTCTTTAGGCGGCATCCCATTCATATTTTCCTTCCATGACAAAACCTTTCGGTTGTGCCATGTAAACATTTTCCTCCAAGTCCCCGTTGAGAAATGCCGTCTTTACATCCATTTGATGTAATTCTAAATTATAATATGCCACTAATACCATTATGATTCTGAAGAAATCCTTACATGAGACTGGAGAAAATGTCTCATTGTAATCAATGCATTCTCTTTGCGTAAAGCCTTTTGCCATAAGTCGCGCTTTATATCTCTTTATATTCCCTTGAGAGTCAAGTTTTGTTTTGTAGACCCATTTATAGCATACTGTTTTGGCTCCTTTAGGAATTATTTCTAAGTTTCAAACTTTATTGGCATTCATAGATTTTATTTCATCTTCCATGTCCTCAAGCCACTTTGATGAATGATCACTTCTCATGGATTCTTCAAATGAGGTGGGATCATCCTCCATTTGAAATTTCTCGGTGTTGTATACTTCATAGTCAGCAGGAATAGCTGATTTTCTAACTCTTTGAGACCTTCTAGGGGACTCCACATTTGACACATCTTCTGTTTGAGACTGTTGTTGCTCCCCCTCATGTGTGGCAATATGTTCTACAGGATCCTGAAGAACATGTTCCTCATTGTCATTCATTGTTGCCATAGGCGGAATAACAACAGGTGCTGGCACCACATTATCTTGCACTGTCGGTGCAGCGATAGAAGGTAGTGAGAAAAATGGCTCATGAATCATCAGAGTGGGCGCATACACCCGCTTCTCTTCAAGGTCAATTTCTTGAACTACCATGCCCCCCCTCATCATTTCATCCTCTAGGAAGACAGCGTGTCTCATTTCCACAAACTTTGTATGTTTGTCTGGATAGTAGAAACAAAAACCTTTTGACTTTTCTGGGTAGCCAATGAAATGGTAACTTACTGTTTTGGGATCTAGCTTCCTAATATTTGGGTTAAATACTTTAGCCTCAGCAGGACCCCCCACACACGTAAGTGGTTTAGTGAGGGTGCTCTTCCAGTCCACAACTCATACAGTGTTTTGGGCACCGACTTACTTGGTACTCTATTGAGAATATGAATGTCGATTTTTAACACCTCCATCCACAAGCTCAACGGTAAGGTGGAGTAACTTATCATACTACACACCATATCCATCAGGGTACGATTGCGTCTTTTAGCTACTCTATTCTGCTGAGGTTCACCCGGTGTAGAATACTGGGCTACTATGCCATTCTCCTGTAAGAACCTTGTAAAAGGTCTAGGAACTTGGCCATATGGGGTATGCCGACCGTAGTACTCCCCCCATGGTCGGACCTGACTATCTTAATCTTTAAATTGTGTTGGTTTTCAACTTTTGCCTTAAATATCTTAAATTTATCCAATGCTTCTATTCTTTCTTTGATTGGATAAATGTAGCCATAACAAGAGTAATCATCTGTGAATGTTATGAACGAATCATAACCATCCACAATCTTTATAGGAAACGGACCACAGATGTCTATGTGAATAATCTGTAAAATTCATGTGCTTCGTTTGACATCTTTCTTAATTTTCTTTACACACTTTCCTTTTATGTATTCTCTGCATTGTTCTAAATCTGAGAACTCTAATGGAGGAAGAATATCATTCTTAACTAGTCTTTCTATTCTCCCCCTCAAAATATGACCTAAACGATAGTGCCATAATTTCGACGATGCATCGTGAGCTCTATTTCGTTTTTTGTTTACATCCGTAGACGAGGATACATTCTCATTGTCGCACGCAATGTTCCCATCATCGCATACAACATTCACATCATCACGTAGTGATAACAAATAGTATGTGCTCTCTTATGCCACCATTTCTAGAGTACCTCTCTGTCACCAGCTGCTTTTTTGGCTGGGTAGCATATGTCTTTGAAGAGCTAATGAACTGACTCTTTATTCTATCGAGATACTCGATGACCGTGTCACACTCTAGGATTGAGCCCATAATTATAGGCTCAATCGTGTTCTTTATCACAACCAAACATTTCTTGTTGACAGTGACCCACTTTCTATACTCAAGGTCATAGGACATCTTTTGGTATTCAAAATCCCTCTCTCTAGGTGCCCAAGCGGCATCAGCCTCGTTGTCTCCCTCACCGGTGCCACAGGCTCAGTGAGACATGGTGAGGTGACTACCTAGTCCACCTCAGCCAAGATGAAGGCCAGGTCAATCTTTTTCTTCCACTCCTTGTGGTTGTCACCTTTGAGAGTGGGGATCTCTTTAATACAACCCATCAAGTTGTATTCGCCTGAAAACACAATTCATATTGAGTGAGAACATAAACATAATAATAACAATTGCATGCCTTAGTTCCAACGTTGGTCAAAATTAAAACATACAATTGTCCTCTACACTAATTCTATATCACCGTTGGGCAGAAATATAATTAATGCATGAATCATTAAAATTACGATATTGTTATTAACAACGTTGGTCAGAAAATAACAACATCATAATCATGTCAAAATTTCTTTTTCTCCAATTAAATATCACGTTGGTTCAAAATAACTGGAGAATAAATAATTTTTTTAACAGCGGAAAAACTAATTCAATTTAATAAATTTTGCCCACAGGAAAAATCTCTTTTCTATTTTCTTTGAGCCATTTATCCATTTTCTAGGAAATAAAACTTTTACTGGAAAAGGAAAAGAAAAAACTGACTCATTTCTTTCACTGTCTTCGGCCCAACCGGCAAAGCGGCCCACAGCCCACGGCTGCGTGCGCGCTCTCCCTCACGCTCCCCCGTGCCTCGGACGCAACGTGGGCCTGGGCCGGGAAAGTGGCCCAGCGCTCGCGCCCACCTGGGCCGAAAGCCGGCCTGGCCGTTCGCAGCCGCTCGATCAAGATCGACGGCTCAACTTCTTTTTTGCGCGAACAAAAATAGCGGTTGCAGCCGGCTCCCCCAAAACCCTAGCTCAGTCTCACTCCCTCCCTTTCCTCTTTGACCGCCATGACGGAGAGCAGAGGGCAGTGTGAGAGACCAGAGCCGAGAGAGAGAGAGAGATGGTGCCATCGTTCGCGGAGGCGAGACCTCGCTCCCCCCGCGCGGCCGTCCCCCTTTAACCCTAGCCTCACTCTCCTCCCTCCCCTTCTCTCACTTCAGCATGCAGCGACCGAGAGCGAGAGTGCAGTGGAGTATGGCGCCGTCGCCTCCCCCCTCGCCGGTGCGCGCGCTCCCCAATGGGTGAGCGCGCCGCCGTTGAGCGGACTAGCGGTGGTGCCCTTGGCTGGAGCTCGCACGGCTCGGCCATTTTCC